TGCTCTTCAACGTGTTTGATTCTTAGTGACTTTCCGTCAAGGAAAAAAGAAAACAACGTGTGGCAAATGGGTAAAATTAATTTGAAATTGTCAGCCAATGTGAAGAGTAAGACAAACTTCATTAAATTGATACAATGACAAAAGTGGGCGCGTAAGGAAAAAAAAATGCCCCTGTCAAAGGAAAGGAAATATTTAATGATATTAGCTCGAGTGGTGCCGCGTTTTCTCTCTAAAGGGCTTAGAAAACCAACATGATTTCGACCAGTTAATGAAGCAGATCAATTTTCAAATGTATTTGCTAGCGTTCTCCGTCTTCATGGATAACAATCATATCTTGTGAAAGAGAGCCGAGAGCTATAAACATTCGTCACGTTATCTGACGAACATTGACAGTATGCACGCTCCAACAAATGACTCCATTTTAGTTGAAAACATTGACAAATGTAATTACTTTTGGATTTGCATTGCTTACTCTAGCATCTTTAATGACTCGTGGAAAAAAAAATAGTTAATGCAACTTTCATTGCTTTGCGTTATCGCTGCAAGATTTTGATCTCTGACAAATTAGACACCCGAAAGAAAAACTACCAGAGCAAAACTCATTTAGAACTGAAACTCGCTCTGACGAAGAGCTAAAACTTGTTGAAACACGACCTTCGATCATCACGTGTGCTGGAGAACTGATTTTGTCAAAGAGGGGTCAAGAACTATTAGTATTATTTTGAAAGAGATATAAGCAGCGAATTGCATAATATCTCTTGATGTTGGCATAAATTATAACTTGGGGCTATATTGTAACTCGATTCTGTACTCAATATTCAAGCCTCGTAGTACGGCAAGTTTACAAGAGAAAACAAAAATGTTGCATTCACCCTGAGTTTTGTCATTATTGAAAGTAAGTTGTGGAATTTATTGCGGGTTTCCCCTGTTGTTTTGAAAGTATATTGTCTTTCCTTCTTTTGTTTATGCTGTATTTTTTTTCAATTTAGCTATACAGAGGCATTGTGTTTTTGCCATTTCATTTCTTCTTAGTGTTGAATGAGGCTCGTTTCGAGAGTAGCCTGCGATTTGTTCACGAGTAATTCCCAGTGGAAAAGACCTTCGTGGGGGCTTGTGCAGACATACGGCTAAACAATGTGTAATTATAAGCTAATTCCTGTATTAAATGTGAAAAACAAAGGGACGGGTTCTCTAAAGATATTTGGCAGATTTCTTGAGTCTCTGGGAAACCTTCGTATGTTTCTTTCGAAAGATGTTTTAGCTCCACGTTTACCCAGATACGCATGCTGGTTCTGTCGCAGCTAGTGCATCCTTGCCTGAGCAATTCCTAGACTTTTTAATCATTCAAATTCCGTGTTTCCTTTAGAAATTACTGTGTCTGATTCCTTGGTAAAACGCTAGTCATCACTTTGAAGAGGTAAAAGTCTTTTACTTCATAGATCTTTATAAGGAGTTGAGATCTCTCGCTTTCAAATTTAGTAAGCGTGTCCAGATTTACCAAAAGTCCAATTACTTTCTTTTTCTTTAAAACACTTTTTACAAGTATTCTTGAGACTGAAGAAGGAAATATAATTAATGCGCGTAAGTGGCAAGCTTTGAATGTCACGATTCCTGACCCCTCCTGACGGCAAATGACAATCCTGCAGCCTTTAATTAAACGATCCGTCTGTGTGTTGCATGTGTAAAGAATACTTTTGTACGTTGAATGCAATTGTTTGCGTTAGTTCAGCTGACAGATCTTTTTGGCCCCCAGCGTGTTTGTGTTGTCGAATAATTGTAAATTAGTTGCTTTGTTCAAAATCAATCTGGAAGACAAAGTTAACTAGGCTTCGAAGTTGAGTCGCCGTGTTGTTTGGGCAGACCAATTACCCAGTTTACGGTAAGATTAGACATTTGAGTTATTTTTAACGCTGCTTTTAGGCCATAATCTACACGAGATTCCGATGCTGCGAAGTTATTAAAGGCAAAAGGAAGTTTCTCGATCGGGCAAGGTCATTCCGGCTTTATCGAGCCAAGCTTGGATAGCGCAGTTGAAATGATTTCGCGTGGCTTTGACGGCATTTTACGACAGAAACGTCATTATCATATAGTATGTACTGCACTCAACATAATGCAAGAAACGTTTCTTGTAAGCATTTGTTTTCTGGCGTCTTTGTGAGGGTGGACTAAACTCAATGTGGCAGGACAAGACTATCTGCACGTACATGTGCTAAGATAACTTTTGTATGAGGACTGTGTTTTTGATGGTTGATCTGAAAATCCTGGCTTCCAATTCCTTAGTCAAACGCTCACGTAATCAAAATGAAAATGAATTCCTAGGTTATTTTGGTCTTTACGATTTTCTTAGATTTATAAATTAGCATTTATTTCAAGAATTCCAACGATAGTTTTTTGGAGTTGAAGGCTCTTAGACACGATAATTGATCTTTTGGATCGTTCAGTCATGTCATTACAAAGACTGAGCTAAGACCAGTTTACACTTCTGCAAAGAATATACCTTTGATTAGATCTTTTTTTTCTTAAAAAGACAAGTGAGGTTGCAATTTTATAGAACCTTCTCCAAATTTTGTCATTACTGCGACTGGCGATTCGCCAGTATACCGGAAAATTTTCTACTTTTGAGGGGGGTAGTTTTCGGCATCATATTCTTCAGCATGGTGCATCATTATCGATCGCATAGTTCGGCTTAGCACTTTCACGGTTTTCTTCGGTGCTTTGTTGTTCGAAGCCCACCGAAAATGTTAAGTATTTGGCTGTTACTAATACTCTTTACTTCTATCATCAGACTGAAGGCCGCAGAAATTTCGTAACAAAGTATGTAGATTACGACAAAACGTGACATAGGAAGATATTTCCTCCATTAGCATTACTTTTATTTCAGATTTTTCCTACGTGGATTTTTAAACCTTGAGCACGGATGCAGACACCGTATATAGATAAACACGTGTAAAGAAGTGCGGCCAAAGACCTTACTCAAATTGTATAAATTTTGACCGGGGACCACACGTCGTACTGGAATACTGTTAGGCACACTTTCTATGCGGTTTTCGACAATCATTTGAGATCAGTCAAGTCTTCAGGTTAATAACTGTCACCTGAACCTATCGCCGTGCAGTGGGGCCCTCTAAATGTACCAGATTGAAACTGTTTCCACTTCTGAAAGACCCAGTTGAGGAGTGTCTGGGTGTGCACAACATTCAAATACTCCTCATTTTTGTTCCAAAAGTTCTTTAGTGCTTGCAAATTTTTGTAATTTGGCTCAGTGCGGCTGAAAACGACAAACTCAACTACCATTGGTAAGCTAGATGACTTCTAGAGGATATTTTCATGCCAGTTTGTAAACGTATTTTGTTCCGTGTATCGTTAACGAACTCAGTAATTGCTTCACCATATTTGCCTGATGCTGTATTTATACCAGCAGAATATTGTACCGTGAGCATCAGATTTAAGATTTTAAGAGAGAAGATATATATTGCCTTAGAGCCCCTGATTGTCTCTGGACGGATATTGTCTTAAAAGCTGTCACTGGTAGTTTGTTTCATCTGTCCAACGATCCTCTCTTTGCCATTGAAACTGTCAGAAAACGACGGAGAAGTGACAACTCTGTAAAAGCAGATTTTTCTTGCAAACAAAGCTTCATGTAAATAGCTTTCCAAAACAAGTATCTTGTCACTATGCACTTATTAGTTAGTACAAAAGCTTCTAATTTTACAAAAATGATACTTGCTTCAAAGAATTAATCTTGATCTAAAAGATTACGTACGTGATAAGAGCGAAACGAAAATAAGTCTGAGTGGAATTTCACATTTTAACTCAACGAAGAGCTATTCTTGGTCATACGCTCTGAGCGTACGTTACCACTCAAGTTTATGTCGCCAGTTTTGTTCACGACGTATCTAGCCTCACGCCAGTTAACAGCGATGTCGAATTGATTATCCTCTTGAGAGGGGTTTAGAAAACGGAAATTTTTGGTTATCGTGAGAATGACAATAATTAGGTTCTCACTTCACACCTTTTTATAGCCCTAGCGGCTCTTAAGAATCCATTTAATTCAGTTTTAATAGCCTATGTAATTATTGGGTCACTTCCGTTTTGAAAAGTATAAATAGACCTCCTAGTGTGCAACTATACTTATTGCCTTTTGTTTTAGAACGGCTGCTGTTTATAAAATCAGATAGCCGCTGTGAAGAGCGTTCAAGGGACCCACGTTTACTAAGCTTAAGCTCCTTTAAAAACTGGCTTTAATATAATAAGATCAAACGTTCGGCAACACGTCCGTCGAACCTCTGTTGTTATACAAGGCGTGTTTTTCGTCAAAGATGCTTTCGTTTCCTCTTCCGAAGACAGATCGTGTCGGCAATGAATGTTTTTGATGAATTCTTTACATTGTAGCTCACCTGGGCAGTGCGATTGTCTTCGCGTGTGTTGTTTATAAATTTGGTTACAACAGTTGAAGCAAGGGATAGTGCTTGGTGTTGAGTGTTGTTAAATCACTCCGCAGCTTCCACTAGTGACCCTATGATCCTCATTCCGGGGGTCAACATACGCCGTGGGGCTTTTTATGGAAAGAAAGCAAATATTGGAACGTGATACGGTAGTTATTTAATTTGCCTTCCTGTGATACAATATAAGTGCTTCGGTTTTTATCTTAAACTGTTGTGAATCCAGAGATTAAGGTTCTCTGGGAATTTGTCTGTGGAACAACTTGGGCGAGTGCGCATTGAAGCGTCTGTTGTTAAGAGCATCACTTTATTAATTCAGGTAAATCTGCCCGACAAGTTTCAAGCGTAACTTTATTCGATGTAATCGGACGGACTACGTGGTAAAGCTGTATATAGATGAGTTACGATCGATACGGGAAGTCATAATTCTTGAGCATCCAAGGCCACTTAATCCTTCTAATCATTGGGAAACACTTATGTAATGACGAAATTCAGATAACGTAAAAATTCAATCGCCTTGGCAATTGACTCATGTAATTTGTTTCCTGTTCTCTCAAGGAGATCGTGCTGGGAACGAAAGATGTTGATCGCTCAGCTGTGGTGTTTACTCTTTGGAGCAACGATATGCGCAGAAGTAAGATCCCTCTCTTTGAGTCATTCTGAGGACAACATACGTTCGGAATTATTCAAAGGAGCAGAACAAGCCATGTTGCAAAAGATGGGCTTACAATCCCGCCCCAGACTAAGAAAGGGAGAAAAAGATAAAGTACCTCAGTATATGCTCGACTTGTATCACAATCACATCAATGATCCAGAATGGATTTCTACCAATTTTAGAAACAAGGGGAAATGGACCTTTGCCAATACCATCCGGGCATTTGATCATGAAGGTGAGTGGGTGATAATTTGGCACTAGAGATATAATATTTTGGTTGGCAACCTGTCCTTTGTAAACGTGACATATCTAGGACCAATGCAGTGTTACGAGTGTTTCCCACCGGCTGTGTTCCCTCTGCGAAAACAAGTGTTAACTCTGTTTATTTTTGTTTGTACAAAAGGTGACCATCTGCCTGTTCCAATGTCAGGATTGCCGACAAACCGATGGAACCTCTTCTTTGACATTCGTTCTCTTCCCAGTCAAGAAACCCTGACAGCAGCAGAACTTCGTTTGACGTTTTCAGGCGGAAAGAATCACTCCAACGAAACCGCTCCAGTAGTCCAACAACTTGTGGACATTCATCAAGTGATGTTACCGCAAACAGCTGGGCATCCGGCTATAACTCGTTTGATAGACACGAGAAGAACGGCTGGTCATGGAATAGAAATTTTTGACATTAAACCAGCAGTTCAACATTGGGCACTTAATCCCGATGAGAATTTTGGCCTTGAGGTGCGTCTTGTCACCACTGATGAATCTCCAAAAGTTCACATGAGCGCTGACAAAAGAGCGACAAAAGACACTAAACCACTTCTGGTCACGTTCAGCCACGATGGGACACAACACGTCTATCGCCGTCGTAAACGAAGAAGTCGACGGAGCACAGGAAACCGTATGGCGAAAGACAGCACCTACTGTCAAAGGCTCCCTCTATATGTTGACTTTGTAGAGGTTGGGTGGAATGACTGGATCGTTGCTCCTCCCGGATACCCGGCATTTTATTGCAATGGAGACTGTCCCTTTCCAATCGCAGATCACTTGAACACCACAAATCATGCCATTGTACAGACCCTTGTAAACAGTGTAAATGCAGACGCTGTGCCACGTGCCTGCTGCGTGCCCACAACGCTGAATCCCATCAGTATGCTTTTCGTGAACGAGCACACCAAAGTGGTGCTTAAAAATTACCAGGATATGGTGGTAGATGGATGTGGATGTCGGTAAAAGAAGGGAGGAGGAGGAAGTAACAAATGCTCAGAATCCCTGAAGCTAAACTGATGTTAGATTGCTTCCGTCGTAAGACACAACTGAGGCGAATTTCTTAGCGAATGGTCAAGGTCAACCATAAGATCGTGTCCAGTGCTGCTGCCATCGGTCTTGGCTTCTTCACCAAGGTGACCACAACGTGGAACAGATCTCAGTTTTAAAAATTGCACGTGCATTGCCATGATGGATAATTTATAAACACAGAAACATGTGTATATAACGACTGTCGACAATAATTGATACGTCGACGAAGTAAAATAGAAGTCAATGAAAAAAAAAAAAAAAAGGGATTGCAATGGATATCGAACTCAGTTTTGTATCAAATTAGCAATAAGTAAATGGCTTTTGACCATTTCATTTTTATAAAGCCGGATTTTCATAAAAGACAGATTAAACATTTTTTTTATTTTCCCAGAAGGTATGCTAATTTTCATGGGAAGATATGATCAAAACTTAAAATTTTTTTAATCTAATAGACTGGATACTCCGCAGTATCAGACAGGAATTTTTATTACCACGTCATAGGTATCGTTCCTTCCTTCGTATTACGCCGCATTCTTCCTAGTATTTACAATGATTTCTGTCGTTATGTATAAAAGACTTACTGATGACATTAGCTCAGTTTAAAACTAAAATAATGTATAATATATTTAAGAGACGGAGATAGTTTCCTAGATGCAAGCCTTTGAAAGAAGTGTAAACTGTTAGATTACTCCTAATCAGTTTTTAGTCTCTTATTTAATGCCAGGTAGCCTCCAATAAAAACTGCAACTTGTGTAACCCATCAGCAAAATAACTGAACCAGGCCGGTACAAAAACTCTGGTTTATAGTCTGATATTTTCCTTTCAATCTGAGATGATAATAAAATATAAGTGAAGAATGGAGTGAGTTGTGGTACGCTTTTGTTAAAGGTTTCTCTGTTAATTATCCATCATCTGTTTTGATGTAACTACCCATGGGTCCGCGTTGAGCTTCGGCTCCCTCTGGAGGTCTTGTGAAAAGAAATTACGTTTCATGCACCGAAGCTATTCTTCGTTTTATTACAGTTAAACCAGTTCAAAGAGTAAGCGTTGGTAATTTGTTGAATGCAGTCTAACCATGATTTGACCCTGAAAAGACTGTTAATGAGCCTTGCAACACAAATAAAGAAATCAGGAGCAGCAGTTGCGAGTTATGATGATAAAATTCTTTGATCGAAAAAAGTTCATAGAAGACGCTTTCCAGTTTTCTTCGTTCCTTCAAAAGTTTCCTTGAAATTGTTTGATTAATGGCATTTTCATTGTCCTTTACACAGGTCTAACTATCCGGAGTTAATTTTCAGGCAATTTGCTTTGTCAACTTTATTGTTAGCAGCTTCGGTTTGCGGGCTGATTGTAACTGAAGGCTATTTGCACCTCCTTGGGCGCTTCATAGCGCAGTTACTAACTGTTTTTTAATTACTTTTGGACAATAAACGCTTCAAGAGGTTCAAAATTTACTTAACATATCGCTTTCCAAGTGTCCCCCGCCGAAAGCAATGACAATTCCAGACAAGGATTTGTCATTGTTCATTTAAACTCTCTTAATTAAAATTTTAGTTGAAGTGCCGATGTGTTGTTATGACGGACGGCAAGGAAGTTCTTATTTGTTATGAACTCACACTGTCTGCCAATATCTCGAGTCCTCTGAGAGAAAAACCCCACAACTAAATGTCAGTTCGTGGAATGATGTATTGAATATTGGCCATGCGTTGTTCATTGAGGTATTACTATTTGATGAGGACTATGATATTCATTTTGCTACCCCATGCAAAGACTGACAATTTTGCGGGAGGTAACGGAGGAACTTATTCCGATGTATTCCCAATTTTATTACCTGTAATTCAGTTACAATCAATAGAGCTATTGACAGTCCGGAGACCAATTTGAAAGGTTTCCAGTGGCTTCTTTGTGAGCTTAATGAATTCACGAAGGTATCTCTTATCGTTGGACTAAGTTGTGGAACCAAACATGATCAATACAATGCTGTTTTGTGATAACAACTGTCCTTATTTGACTCTGTCCAGTAAAGTATTCGTCAAATGGGGAACGAGTAAAAACAGATGGTTCCTCTTCATGCCAAGACATGTCAAAGTCAGTCTGCGAGGAAGAGGGCATTTGATTCTAGAAAAAAAAAAATCTTGTTTTTTCGTTGACCTTGGCCACTAATTTGTTGTTTACTCAAAAATTTCCGCTTGTTAATCATCTTAAGTGTCTTAAAGTAGTTTGAACAAAGAGGGTCATGATCGAGTGTGATAAATAATATCCGAGTTTTTGTCTCTTTCCTACCAAAAGGGTGAGCCCCGAAAACTCAATTTTCCCTCTTTAAGTTTTTGGACCCTCACGTTACAGGACGATTTTGGGTTACAATATTGTGTTCTGCCATTTTTCTTGTGCAACCTCTTTCCTTTGTTCTTCGTGACATTTGCCTGTAAAAGTACCTACCAATACTTCATGCCATCTAACAGGGACATACCTATTCGAAATTAAGTGTCTAGGCATTGCTATATTTCCGAACCGTTTTAACCGCTCTCTATGTCTCAGTCTTGTTAGTGTATATCAATCGACCCCGTCTCGAAGTAACGGACTAATTGCTAACTTCAGTTAGCACTTCATTATATTGGCGGCTGATGTAGCACTGAGTTATAATAACAGTATCCAATTGCTTCTTCATTCAGATTACGTTCTCTCGCTGGTGAGAACGACCTTAATGTCTTACCAAATAAAAAAAAACCTTCAAAGATAGACCGTCATTGCAGCCCTTTGTTCCCGAAAGGCGCTTAACACTAATCTAGACTTGATTGGGGGCACAAATCCAGAAAGAAAAGCATAAAAATAACATTATTTTTATTTTTTATAATTAGCGCATGTTACAGAGAATGTCTCGTGGGGTTTTTGTCTAAAAGGAAGCCCACCAAACTCTGACTGTGGGTTGTAAAATATAAACAGAACAGCCTCTTTGAAAGACCATCGCGCGAGATCAAATATTTATATTAACTCGTGGTTAGCCGCTTACTTAATTAATTTTAAAAGGCCGGTGCCCTCTGAACTAAAGCCAAAACGTATAGTTTGATGGTTAGTTTGCAAAAAAAAAAAAGAGAGAGAGAGATAGAGAGAGATTATCACGACACGCAAAGCGTTTCTTCGAGTTGCAGACGAGTATATTCATCGAGGTGACGGAGGAAACTTCGTTCCCAGGCTAAATCTCCTTTCCCGGCGCCCGCTAGTAGAGGGAAGAACTCGGGAACATAGTTGTAAAAGAGGCTCTTAGAGTGCCTGAGAAGATTTAACGAGGCCTTGGAAATGAGGAAAGCTCATAACAGCAATTTAAACTTATTCTTTGACGAATGAACGACTGCATTTAGTCATTTGCTGCTATCAAAATGGCACAAAACGAATTTGCAATCATTACTAGCTAATTAAAATTATTTTCCCAAATACAAATAGTTGCTTGGCCTGTTGGCAAACCTACTTTCTCTTTAAAAAAAAGAACTCCTTAATCCTTTAGCTCTCGCGAATAAAAAATCATTATAGCGGAAAGTCTAATCAGTTTTAAGCGCTTAGATTTAAAAAGACCAGCTTTGAATCACGCAGTCCTCCGATGATAATTGGATCGCCCTTTTTCTCTGCTGTTAGCACCACTTTATTACGTAATAAAATTCCCAATCTCCTCAAAACTGAGAGCAAACGATGACAGTGCCTCCTTAAAATAACCTCAAAGCACTTTCTTGAGTGTTTGGTTTAAGTGTGCGTGCAGTAATTTTCCGAACAGAGCACGCATTACGCCCGAACCTGGTCGTCCGCCATGTTGTCGACAAGTGTAAAACAGTATGTAAGTTAGAGGTAAAGGGCAGGTCGACCGCGCAGAAACATTAAAACACCCACACACACGCAAACTTATGGTCGTGTGGAGATCGAACTCTGGAAAACTGTCTAATTAGGTTTATCAACTGAGGCAATGTCAAAGTTTGTCTACGTCGAAAAACCTCAACCAAAGTTTTTTGTTGCAGTGAGTGCAATTCTTATCGATCAATTTATTCATTACCTGACAAGGAAATTCCGCATTAAATTGCACGCGAAAACCGATACCGCATGCACGAATCGCGAAGCGATGCGTGCGATATCGGTTTTCAAGTGCAATTTAACGCGGAATTTCCTTGTCAGGTAATGAATAAATAATAAAAATAAGAAGAAAAGAAAACAGTAATAATATTGTTTGTTTTTATCCTAAACGCGCGCCTCAGAAAGCCATTTCAAAGTCAACTGTTAGAACCGTCATTGCATTAGCGAATAGGAAGCGAGGTCAGTCGTGCACGCTTGAATCTTCCACAACTTTATTTGTACCTCGTGCTTGTTTTTACATTTGTTTTCAAACTTTTTTAAATAGGCTTCACACTATCTTAAGGATAATAGTAGTATTTCACTGAATTTACGAGCCGTTTATTTTTAACATCATTTTTCAAATTTCAAATCATTTGCTCTAGACGGAAAATAATTTACACCTTTTACCTCTTTGGTGGCAAAACTGAAAGAAATTAAATTTCCAAGCGAAAGCACTGAAAGTCTAACATCGCGATTAAAGGTAGTTATTTCTTCTTCTGTATATATGACAATCGACCTTAGCACTTCTTCCGTTGTCACTTCTTTGTCTTGTTCAGTTAAAATTTTGCTTGCCATTTTCTGGGCCGTGTTCACAGGATTTCCTCGCTTTCTCGTTGTCGCAAGCGAAAGAAGTTTTTTATGCCTCTCCAAGAATTTGTAGTTCATTTCAATACAGGGAAGAACCTCTGGCTCACTTTGAAAAACGCTTTTGTTTGGTTTTTGGCTCTAAAAAATGACATTGTAGAAAACTTTGTTACCATTTGACGATAGATGTTATGTTTACGTAGATGCGAAACTATCACATAGCTTCGTTGACCAATCAGAATGCGAGATTTTATCCAACTATGCGATCTAAAATACATGTAGTATTTTCAAATATATTCGTTTAATTAAACATGTGTATAATCTTTCAAAATGTTCAGCAGCTAGTGAAACTCCTGTCAGTTAATCATCTTGCTATTAATAAATTAGTCTTTTTACGAAATGTCTTGGTCACAATTTGATTGGACAGATAATGGATAAGGTTAAACACTTGTCTCACAACTCACACGTGTACAAAACAGAGGTCTGGAGACGAGACGAGCACTGGGTATGAGCGCGGTTTAATCCTGTCCGGTTGCTAAGGAACGCTACAGAGAAGGGCAACAGAGACTGTCGTCGCCAAAATGGCGGACGGAAGAGATGGGCTGAGTTTTCTACCGAATGTTAAAGCCAGCACTTGCAAACAAGGAAAGAAGACTAAACGAGTAGCATTCAAAAATCTCCAAAGACCTTTAGTACTCCCTAGCTTGGAACTCAGCACTGTTGACTTGCAATCAGTGAGTAGCTTGTTCTCTCACAAGCAAATATGTAAAAAAGTGTGCGAGTGGTTTACAGAGTGGAGGTCGTGGCAACAACGGATCTTATTATGCGGCGTCTCTGAAAAGTGCACGAAAAGTCAATTACAGGCTTTTGTGACGATGCTTGAGCCAGTGTTTCACAGGGATTTTACTGCTAGGCTTAAAGGAATTTATCCAACAACTCGTATTAAGGCGCGACTGATTCACACAGCCACTGTTCCAAGCTTCAGCGCGGAAGAATTGAAAAATGCTCTTCAGCCATCGCAGGAAGTAAATCGGGTGAATTCTTCAACCACGGTTGGTGAGGTAGAAAAACCTACAGACAAGGATTTAGACAGTTTTCATAGTGAATCAGGAGGATCTTATGACCGGAATAGTTTCAGTGGTATGAATTTTACCACAGACACAAGGATTGTGAGTATCCCTGAGGGGAGCGTGGATTCCCCTCTCACCCCAGATGGGGGTACAGCTATGACAGCTTCATCTCATACTATAAAACCAGCTGCTGACATTGAGGAAAACTGCCGGCATGAACATGCCCCGCCATTTGTAAGGAGAGTTAGTACACCAAATTTTTTCCCACACTTCAATCATAAGCAGCTTGGCCACATGAGAACTGTTCTAAGGACTGGAGATAAAGAGAAGCTCTATGGACATGCGCCAGTTACATTTAAACATAATAAGTGGTGGGAAGGCCATAAAGGAGGTCATCTGATCAAGCCCAGGAGGAGTAAACTTTCAAATCATTTTAAATCTCAACTCAGTCAGATTCATCAGGTATTACATAGATGGGTCAAGCTTCACACAATACCTACAATATGTATCAAAATGTTTGACACATCACTATTGAAATTCTAGTACCATTTTTATTTTAAACCCTTTAACTCTCATGAGTGACCAAGACAGAATTTCTCCTTACAATATCAATACAATATCAAGCAAACAAATGATGAGAATAAAGAAAATATCAATTAGGGGATTATAAGTTGATCCAACACCAAATTCTCCCAACTAAAATCACAAGAACTGTACAGCAAACAGTAAGGAGAATTACTAATGAGATCTTGGGAGTTAAAGGGTAAAGGCCCCTACTTTCACCCCCCTCCTATCCCACACCTTCCCCCCTCCCTCTCAGCCCCTGTACCATGTTACACTTCATTTTTTGTGATTTTGTAACAATGAATGATACAAGGGGGTATTGCAGCAAACTGCATTTATACATGCCTCCTCAAGAGTAGTCCTATTCAGGTTTTGTTACAACACATATTGTAGTCAGTTATTTCCTCTTTATATCTTCTGTCTTTACTTTATGACAAAGCTCACATATTCCATCTTTCTTTCTTGTCCTTACAATGAAGAAAAGGAGTAACCTGAATTTTAAAATCCCAATCTTGATAAATTTTTAAGCAGATTTCCTCTCTTGAAAGTACTTTGGTAGGTTTGTTTTACAGTTTTCTTTGTCATTAATGAATTGTGGGTACTGTATAGTTATTACTAATCCTATATACATAGTCTTAAGTATTATATGTTGCTATGGTAGCTATATTCTTCTTATGAATCAATAGATGATTGTTTTGTTCTCCGGCAGTGGCTTGATGAGTGGCCAACACATGAGAGAGTAGAGCTACTATCAGAGGTGGTGAAATGCTGTGACGAAGAATCTCTAAATTTTTTTGCACAGTGTCTTACCCAGAGGTAAAGGATGAAAAAAAAGTTTTTATCCTTCACATAAAAAGAAATTTAAAAGCCATTTCAGATGAAAATCTTGCAAGGATTATGACATTTTGTTCATTTTTTTTTTCTTGTTTTTGTTTGTTTTTTTTTTAATCTGCTTGCAAGTTCATGAAGATCCCAAGGGTTCATCTTATCCTTAGTAAAATCACAAGAATTGTTTTACGAATTTAATATTTGATCCTACAACATGAGTATAACACTAGAGGCTCTTGAAAATGCAAATTCCATACATTTATGAAATATGTTTTGGTGATTGGAAGTTTGATAGGTTTACAATTTCCCCCAACTACCAATTTTAGAAAGTGTGAGCAATACAATATAATTACTCAGACAGGTAATGCCACTACTGGTAAATTTAACAGATTGGCAATGGTTTAGTGTGGTCTGTACTGTTGTTGACAAGGATATTTGTCATTTCATCGCTCAAAATGTTGTAGACCTCAGAGGATGCAGGCAAGTGAGTCTGCATCAAATTTTAACCTCTGTGATGACAATTTTATTGTTGACAATCAGAGTACAGACCATGCTAAACCACTGTCGATTTGTTTCTTACCAAAATAACTACATCAAATAAAATGATTCTTTCAGTATGTGACCATTGCATGACATGTTGTTGTGAGCAGTGTTACCTGTAATCTAATCGGCCAATCAGATTGCAACATTACCACCAATTGTGGTTAAAAATTATAATATTGATATATTACACTGTACCCCTATTTTTATGATTTCAGGTTAAGAGATACAACAGATTTAAACTGTGTCCCAGACAATGTTCTGCTTTATGTCTTTTCCTTTTTAAATGTTAGAAGCTTGTGCCAAAGTTCTCAGGTAGGAAATTCAATATTTTGGAAATTATATTTGATTAATTTTAATTTTTAATTTCATTTGATTAATTTTGATTTTTATTTCATAGTCTGAAATTTTATCTAATCAATACCCATTTTTATTTGTGGTTAAAATTGTTTCTAGTTTTGTGCTATTCTTACATTCATTATCACAACCAGGAAAAAAAAAATCAAATTAATTTGAAAAAATTGTAGTCAGAAAGAAAAATTTTAACCACAACATTTTCATTTGCTAGATTACAATCTTTTGTCTAAACTCTTTAGCTCCCAAGATCTGATTGTTAATTATACCCTCTAGCAGCTGTGCATTTCCTTGTAAATTAGTAATGGGAGTTTGGTGCTAGATCAAGATTGCAGCTTCTACCTGATAAGTTTGAGTATTCTCGTTATCTGTTTGCTGAAAAGTTTGAGTATTCAAATCACCAAGTAAGGTCAGGAGAATTATGGAAATGATCATTAACTAAAGATTGAAACCATTGAGTGTTAAACAAATTCTCCTTGTCAACCCCTCAGGAAATATATATATACTCTGGTGTTAGGGTGTATAAGCTTCAAGGTAGAGAGTATATGGCAGGAGTCCATGTAAACTATATACCTTCAGAGAAAGATGTTTTTTTGTCTTGTCACAAGTGCAAGACAGAGAAAAAATTCCGAGTCCCCATGAGGAATCAACCCTCAGCCCTTTTGATTCCATGCTCTAGTGCTCTACCACTGAGCCACAGAGACTCTACACTGAGCGAGGTCTATTACAAAGCTCATATGACAGGCATCCTGCGTACTGTTAGGATCAGCTATGTTGATAGCGTCATGTTTGTAAATAGAGTATGAGAGATGGGAAGTTTTTTAGCTCAGTAAAGAAATAGAGATAGAGGTTTTTCATCTTGCCATGTGTGTGGGACAAGGAAAAAAATTCTGAGTCTCCATGAGTCTGCTATTTATACTTTCACTTTCCAAGAGTTAGAAAAGGTTTTTTCATGGGGCATGTTTCTTGCTAAACAAACCTTTTATTATCATGTGTATCAAAGGCATGAACTGATTGAATTTGTGATTGCTTTTCTGAAGGTTTGTTATCGATGGAGATTCTTAACCAATGATAGTAGACTTTGGAAAGCTAAAATTGCTTCACTGGGTAAGTATTATGGAATTATTTTCAACATGGTAGTGTAAATTTTGTTGTGTTTGAAGTTACAAACTTGACATTTTTAGATTTTTTTTTCTCCTTTTTTGTAATTTTTTTTGGATGAGTCAAGCAGTTTATTATTACTATCTTTGTATCCAGGGGCCTCTGAAGGAATTGAAAACTTAACAGAAAAGATTGAAGTCCTTGGTCATGGTCAGGCTGTTGATTGGAAACAAGCTTATAGAGAAGTAAAAAATTACTACAAAGATTTGGCCATGGTGAAACTAGAGAAGGAAGAAGAGAAAGGTGAGTCACAAACTAGACAATAAACTATGTAGCCTTATGATGAGTAAAAAGATTTCCAAAATTTGAAGTTGCTATGAAAGTTGTTGAAGGGTTGAATTTTTGTCTTGTCACCCACCACCCTCCCTTCCCCCCCCCCCCCAAAGTGGGTCAGCAACAAAAAGATTTGGCCACTCAATACTCAATAGTTTAGTTGTTTTGATAATCAGAAATTTTGAAAATTGGCTAAATTTGCCAATAACAGTTGATGTCTTTGCTGCAGGTGGTTTGCTTCTGGGTAGAAAGAGTGCCCTCCATCCAAACAAAATGTAAAATGCCAAACATAGAATGACCTAATTCCAACAGATTGTATTTAAATTGATGTGACTGGGTGAAAAGTTACAAAAAACATTAATCTTAAAAAGTGAAATGTTACATTACTGCCACAGAGTTGAAAGAGAAATTAGAAGCTGCAAGATGCGAGGAAATGAAGAAGCAATCAAAAGTAACAGTAACTGGTATGTTTATTTCAAATATGTCTGGCCATGACAGAAGAACAGGAGACAACATGCAGTTTCAAAAAGTCAGAGATATGTGGTCTCCTTTTGGAGAGAAAATCGTAGGAAAAGGAAAGGAAAAGAAAACCGTGAGCTTCACTAAACAGATTATAATGAAGAGAGACATCTGTCTTGAGCATATTTCAAATTATGTTGAGTATCTCTTATACAAGTTTTTTGTGCTTTGCCTGGATCTTAAAATTTAACTCTCGCCACATGCTTTTGTCCCTTCAGCTGCTCAGAGGGGAATAAAACTGGTACTTACTGATAACTTTGGAACTAGCCGATCAGTGTGTGCTAAAAGCACTATTTACCTGTGTGGTATGAACTAATAATGGATATTTGTCAGCTTCGCTTGGGGTAATTATGGGGTCGGGTGGTAGGCTTAGTCCAAGGCCACGCAAAGGGACGTATGTGATGGATAACAAAAATTTAACTGAAATGTAAAAAGTTTTACAGTTAAAGAAGCTAGTGACAGTTAAATGTATTTGTATGCATTTTGGTAACTTTTGATGTAAGTCAGTTAGTGTTAATTGAAGGTCAGTTTTCCAATGATTGAATTTGTTCTTTTGCTATCAGAATTGCCACCAAAGCCCATCAACAAAGATGAACCAAAGGCTGTATACAGTAACGTTGGTAAGGGATGTGTTTTTTTCTGGTCAGTTATGTAAATATGCAAGACGCAGTGGCATAATGGCCAGTGCACTGGACTTCGCGTCCAGAGGTCTGGGTTTGAGACTCGGCTGGGTCAGTGTGTTTGTTCTTAGACAAAACACTTTAGTCTCAGCATGCCTCTCTCCCCCCAGGAGTATAAAAAGGTACTGGTAAATTGTCAGGGAAGCCTGATGAAATGCAGGGGGGGGAACCTTGCGATGGACAAGCATCCCATCCAGGGGGGGAAGTTGTAATACTCCTTGTCGCTTCATGCTTCTTGGAAACCAGGATAAACTCTGACTGAGGGGGGCTAATAGGCTTGAGAAAACACTTTATTTTTTTCCTTTACGGAAATAGCACCAGAATTTTTAGCCATTAAAAAAATAAACAATCTGTAGTGTAAGTTTCTTTGTCTTAAAGAACTGATTTTCTGCTATTTTGCACATGGAGTTCGTATCGATTCCTTTCCTTTGCCAGCTGAAATTATGATAGCTCAAGTGATGGAGAACGTCGGACCCGCTCAGTCTGCCCCGACCGCTGATCAAAAAGAGCATGGTGACGAGTTCACAGCAGCAGACTTTGATGGAAATGATCTTACAGGTGGGAACCTAAAGCTCCTGACACGCAGTTTGAAGGCACTGGCTGATGGCGGAGATAAACCTGAAGATTTAGATGTTGCATTGGATGTACGGCCTACCCTTGTGCAGGCATCAAACTTGTTGGCAACATCAGTATGTATATTCCCCATACTGTTATCTACACATTTCCTAAGGTGCTGATAAGGAGAATTTATTGAACAATCGAAAGCTTCCTTAGTTGGTGATCATTTCCTTTTTTCATATGTATCTTAAATGAATGATTCAGTAGTATAATTGTAAGGAGAAACTAGATGCTGATTACTCTTAGGGTTTAAGGATTTAAATCTTCCCGCGGGCGAAGAAACGTGCGTCATGCAGCGCCGACAATGACGCCTGCTCGAAGGCTAAATATAGTTTTCGTTTGTCTCACAGGAAGGTGATGGAGAAAGAGGCAGGCAAAAGTTTCGTTATCTCTCACTTGCTGTTCAAGGTGTTTTTTCTGTTCGAAGGGTGCGGAGATTGCAGGTATGAAGATCGTCTACTGTAACACTTTTTAAATACACAAGAATCTCTGCTACAAGTCATCAGTTTAGAACCTAAAAATTTTATTCCGTCCCGCTTCCTTCGTTTTCTATTTTTTAGGGACACATGGATGCCATATTCTGCTTACAGTTCGATAAAAGAAGGATTATTACCGGCTCTGCTGACCGCACAATACGGTAGGCTTAAACTGGTTCTTTAAGTAAAATTGAAGTGTGACGAAATTCATTTGTTTCAGACGTATTTCATGAGAAAGTTTTTAAAGGACGATAATCAAATCAGATTGCTTGTTATGTATTCTTTTCTGAAAAGTGATCTTAGTTGTGATTTTCTCTCCATTTCTAGTATGTGGGATGTGAGGAGTGGGCGAAGTATTCACAAGCTAAAAGGCCACAAGGTATTATTCTCACATCGCTCAGGAAGATACGACTCTGACCGTGAATTGATCGTGAGCGACAACTTTGTTTAAGCGCAACAAATCCTTCTTTCTTCCCTGGTGGCATGGAAAAGTGTTGTACAGGGCTGGATTTGAAATCTGGAGGGTCCAGGATGACACCTGCACACTGTAACTCAATTGGATTTCTTTCTCGGTAGTTTCGAGTTGAACTCCTCTGTTGAACTTTGTAACTAATCAATTGATTTGGCCTGCCGTAAATGGACACTTTGAAAACTGATTTAATTGTAATTTAACCATTTCGTTACCAACATCCTTCTTTTTGCTGCCATAACATCCCTTTGAAATAAGTTGAGAGAGTTTGGTTTTTATGTCAAGGTACATAATAAAAAACTCCTGCTCGTATTCATGTGTATTCTCATTTCTCATTTGGTGAATTAAGTTTTGAAACTGTTTGGAGAATAAACTTGTGAAGTAATCCTGCAAGGTGAATGGTCAAACCATTTCTTTTGGTATTTTTGTTTTACCTCAAGTACCACTTTGTTTTTTGGTTTTCAGGGTGGAGTGCGGTGTCTTCAGTTTGACGATGAGAAAATCGTCAGTGGCTCGTGGGATATGACTATCATGGTTTGTGTTTTCTTGATTTGTCAATTTTTGTGTTACCTGTTAAGACTCCAGGACATCTTTTTAATCAAGGCTATGAGATTATTATTCATATATGTATACCGTTGGTTGTGACAACTCCGATTCAGTGATGGAGTAAATTGCGATTGGTGTCGTAAAACCAGCCAATCCCAACAGAGCGAAAAAAGACCAAAGAGCCTATGAGAGGTCAATGTGGAAAAATGGGAAGAAGAAAAAAAAACAAACAAACAAAAACTGGACAAAGTCAGTGCCTCAAGCACAGGGAAGCGAGAGGGAACTGTTTGTCAGAAAAACCAATTCAGCGATCGATCTGTTCGGGCGCCGAAGTTTTGTCTTTTTGTTTTAAGTTATTTTTCCGATCATGCGGAAACCAAGCTTTAATTTTTTTTGTCTTTCACACTAACAGTTGAGTTTTGTGATTTTAGGTTTGGCACATTGTTAAGTTCCACAGATTAAAAGTTCTTTATGGGCATTCTGGATGCGTTTCATGTTTGCAGTTTAAAGGAAAAATCCTGTAAGTGTTGTAGAACAAGAAAACTTTTGCCTTTCCTCTGCATGCATGAGCTTGGAGTAAAATCAAGGCATACACGAATTACTTTCGACACTTACGTGAAAATCGCTTTTTTCTCCTTTCAGAGTGAGTGGGTCACATGACCGTACCCTCCGCATTTGGAACACAGACACGTGGGAATGTGAATCTGTAATTGAAGGACATGAAGGTACTAGGATTGATATTGTTACATTATCGCCAGTGGCACAGAAGTTGCGCTTCATGTGTCCGACCAGCCTGGGAGGCTGTCAGTGACTTTGAAAGTGGAAGGCAGAGGAGAATTAGTAGGCGTCTAGGTTGTCGTAGACGCCTTATTATTTCGTTAGAAGAGGAACTATTTAGTTTAAAAGTCCCAGGCGTAGAATCGATTCAGACATCTAAGTTACGGGCAAACAGTATATTCAATTTCACTCGAAAATGGAAAATGGCCGCGTTACAAATTGGTTCTATAGTAGATGTATTTCAAAAATTGCACGATCTTTCAATTGCACATAGGTAAACTGAGGTGTAACTAGCCAGCTATAGATGGCGGCTGGCGGTTTTGGTCAGCCACTGACTGAGTCTGTACACATTGCTAACAGCACTTAATTTGTTAACTCCAAGGTGCTGTTACGTGTCTCCAGCTAAACGGAGACTACCTTGTCAGTGGTTCTATTGATAGGTAGGGAAACTAAATATCCCGTTTAATTTCTGCAAACCAAGGTGTAAATGCTCATTTTGGGGGGCGAGGGAACGAGAAATGCGACAGGCAAATGATGCAATAGAGTTTGCGTAGTTCGGCAAATGCAGCAAACTTTTAGATGCATGCACAGGGAAATTTGCAACAGGCGGTAAGGGCGGGAAACTTGCAACAAGCGGCAAGCGGGGGAAACCTGCAACAAGCAGTAAGCGTGGGAGAAACTTTCGTCAAGAGGCAAGCGCGGGAACCTGAGGCATGCGCGGGAACCTGAGGCAAGCGCGGGAACCTGAGGCAAGCGCGGGAACCTGAAACAAGCAGTAAGCGCGGGAAAATTTGCAACAAGCGACATGCGCGGGAGACCTGCAATAAGCGTTGACCGCGGGAAAACTTACGGCAAGCGGAAACCGCGCGGAGAAGCTTGCATCAACCGGAAAGCGTAAGAGAAGTTCTTTTGGCCAAATCCTCGTTGTGTTTTCTTTGCTCTTGAGAAGCTACTTGTACATCATCTAAGACTCACCACTATTTGAATATCACGGAAAATGAAAATTATTTAAACCTATCTGGTCTTTGTAGGACGTTAAAATTGTGGGATATAAAGACAAGAGCGTGTCTTCATACATTTGAGGGACATAAAGACGCTGTACTGGCCGTCACGGTAAAATTTCTCAACTTGGTAGCTTTTAGATGTGTTATACTCGTTTCTTCTTACAGCAGTTTTCTAAAGGTGACTTCGTCGCGATTGGTTTGTTAAAACGCCACTAAATTTTTTTTCTTATTTTCTTTTTTTTTCCTTATTTCTCTTTCTGTTTTCTTTTTTTTTTTCTTTGAAAGGTACTCGGTAACCTAATAATCAGTGGGTCCGCGGACGGCATGATTATGTTCTGGAACCTGGAAACGGGATTCTGCGAAGCTGCTATCCAAGGTCACGAGGGCCCAGTCCACTCTCTGGATTACAATGGTCATCAACATTTCTTCTCATCAGGAGGGTAAGACTTTTTCCTAGGTTATTTCATTTTCTTGCGAGAGAACCTCCTGTAACTCTTCTCAAATAGCACTGACGTAAAATATTGCAGCAGCACTAGTTAATGCTAAGCCAACTGTTACAAGCTTGGCGTTAGATGTTATCTCACGTTTCTGGAATTTCTATTCAGGAATTGCCGTTTCGCGCTTTCTTAGTGAATTTGTGAGAACAAACTCGCCCTCGCCGAGACTTTGAGCCAAGATTTTTCGTCATCATTTACCAATTTATTTTGGCGTTGTATCAGTCTTGATATCTATATTGTCTTAGTTTGGATCTCAAAGTAGTTCACTCTGTTGAAGAGTTTGAGCCAACAACACTCAAAAACAAATTTTGCAGGCTTCTTTTCAGCAGCTGCTTAAATTACAGCTTACCATCGAGGATTATCGCTTTGCCAACCCATAAATATAAGTATCATTTCCTTTACGAGATGTACGTATTAGGAAAGCTTGTACCCACAAGTCCTTCAAGGTAATTATATTGAAAATGGTTTGCGCTCCGACGTCCGAACGTTTACAAGTGAAAGTATTGCGGTTTTTTAGCGCGTTTTTTTTTTGTTTCATATCACAGGGATAATTTATTGAAGGAGTGGGACCTAAGTACCTGTACGTGTCTACGATCATTACAGGGACACAAAGGGCCGGTGTTCTGTGTTAAGGTAGGATTAGGATCTTTCATTTGTGCTCCGTTTAATGAGCACAAACTTCTTTCACTTTACTTTCGTTATACTACTATAACTTTGACAACTTTGTTCCCAGGCCGTCCCGCACAGGGTTGTCTCTTGCTCTGCCGACGGATTTACGAGGATCTGGGACCTAGATAGTTTGCCCGAAGGAAAGGTTGGTGACGTTGCATAACCCACAAGTTGGAGTCAATTTTTTTAAAATATATCATTTTTAAAACGCTGTTATTGTTCCTTTCTTTTTTTTGTAGGGTCTGAGTAAAGCAATTACTGTTCAAGAAAACGTTATCACACCAACCAAAGTGGTAGAAAACTCTCTCGAGAAATCTTTAAAATAGATTTAGAGGGTAGATAATGCTCATTTTGACCCGGTCTTGCACCAAAATTTTGCTTTTTAAGTAATATTGCTGCTGGTTTTTTGACACCTGTTTACGTCAATGTTACTGATTGTAAAGACAGTCGAGACACAAGCACTCTGCTTGGTTGCTATGCAATCATGTCCTTTACTAACAAGGAAACAAACAAACAGCATAATTATTTATTAATATTTTCCTTCGCTCAACTGTTTCAGACTAATTGTACATTATGCGCTCAGCACACGGTTTTTCTTTTTTTTTTAAAGAAAACACTGTTATAAATTAAGAACATTTCCAAAATATACGTGGAATTTTTCCGTTTTTAACTGAAACAGATGCTAAAAGAATTTGCACCGAAATGTAAGCCAGGAGATAAAATAAACAATATTGATGCCTGGGGACGTTTACTCTGGAATACAAACAGATGAAGAAATAATTAAAATTTTTAAAATTTCAGATGTTAATAGCGAGATGCTCTTTATCAGGCAATGATTTTGGAGAAGGTGGAAATATGGAAAATATTTGTATTTGTTTAGATATACTGTTGTCTTGTTAATAAAAATTAGAATCTATAAACATTCGAGTGAATAAACAACATATCGATTTTAACATATCTTCAGTTGTACCTTCTTGGTTTAAAATATTTCAAGGGCATCAACTTGATATCCTCATCAAGTAATTTAAAATTTTTGTATCTTTTTTGTACCCTTCAATCCTGTAACTATCACAGGTGAAAAAGAGTCCTTTTTTACCATTAATTAACAGTGAATGACGTAGATAGAGTGAAGTGTTCCTCTGAGATATAATTAATTATCAGGTTCTAGAAATTTGCGCCGCAGGCCACATTTCTAATTTGTGCTCTTTCCTGCACGCGAAGTTTTAGCGTCTACCTTTTACTTTTGTTGAGTGTTCGACAGACCTCTTCGCCTTTTAAAAGTGTCCACTGTGTGATCATGTACAGACGCGATTGATTGGAAAAATTTTCTTTACCCACAAATGCGTGTTTAGTATGTTGTCATTTTTATGAAGTTTTAAAAAAAAGCACAACATTGTCGTTAATGATAGTGAATGTGTCTGGTTTGACGCGTTGGTCGCTGAAAACAATTTTTACGTGTGATAAAATTGATAAAAGACATTTGGGAAACATGCGCCAGTATGCAATGGAATTAATTTGGCTTGAAAGCCAAGATTTTTTATAGGAATGTGCCCCGGATTGAAATGCTTAGCATAGAAGCTACTCTTGAGCTGACAGTCTCAGTATGCAGAATGCTAAGTTTTAACATCGATTTTCCCATCACAGAAAACATTACCGCTTTATTTTGGATTATGCCAAAAACAGTGAAACTTTCTACCTAGGTTTGGATGAAGAAATTAACATTAGGAGGGACGGGCAACTTTTTTAATGGAAAAAAAAAAGACAGTCGAAACTGATTTGTTAAATTGACTGGGACACTAATGAAGTCTTGATGTCAATTTGGCAGTTCTGTGCGCCAACCATATTCCACGCTGTCAAAGTTCTCGCATCTCCATACAACTGTAGTCCTTATGTGCGAAATTTTCCGCCGTCCTCGTCCGCTGGCTTGCTATGCAAATTGCTTATCGAAACCCGGCCCTTGGCTCAATGCTGCTGAAGCCTACGCTATTTCAGTTGACACACAGAGGAATAGTACTGAGAGAATTCTCTCCTTTCGCAGCATGATGAATTGAAGGACTCCAGCTGATCTCTAAAAAAAATGTAATCTAATTTTGCACTTCTAAAATAATCACTAAATTCCGCATCAGATTTTTCTTCTAATACCAAATATTAGCACGTACAATACTCCTGTAAAAGTGAGTTCAAAATGGAAAACCGTGCTTCATTTCACGTTTTTTCGTACCAAAGGTTGATATTGTGAAATCTTTTCTCATTGACATGAAGTGTTATTGTTTTCCAGGATTACAGAGCGTAAATCACATGAAGTGTATTGACAATGAAATAAATCTCTCAAGCTGTTGACACTATTGTTCGAATACCACGCTAATTAATATCGAAAACAAAACAAGAGTTGTTTTTATTTCTGAGGGTCTATGGAGTAATTGCTCAATCCTGAAGGAGGAAGACGACATGAACTACCGCTAGCTGAGCTGTGATTTAATTGAGCAATTGAAGCAGTGTGCTTCCTTACATTGAGCAAACTTGATATTTACCAATTAACTGCAAGACTCGAGGCAACAAAATGAACTAATGTACATTTGAGACCAGGCGGCCTTTGGAAGGACTTCGCAAAATTTAGCACAACTGTGACACAGCTCGAGAAAAGATATCTTTCACGGTAAGAAGCAATTGAAATTCTTTAGATTTTATATTGATTTTGATCCACTGGGGATTCATTAATTTTAAAGAAGAGTATTTGATAAGCCTCACTCTTAAAATCTACTGCGTCTCTCTGAAGTGAACGTAATATTTGAAATTGCCAATCGCGTAGAATACTCATTCACTCAGTCTAACGTTTTTGCATGACATGCCAAGCGCGAAGGGCTAAATCGCTTTTTCTACCCTCAAAATTGGCGAGACGAACAACCGCCAATTCTTGGTGACCCGAACAGCCAATCTTAGGGAAAAAACCGTACAGGAAATATCTCAATTGCGTGAAAAGTAGCTTTGATAACCTCACGCGACGAAGTCAGTATTTGCGTGTGTTCGCAGCGCCAAGATTCTTCATTTAAAGACTTTAGAGCTTACATTCGCGGAAAGATTTATCCCTTTAGCGTTCCTGTTCATTTGCCAGGAAGTAAAAGGCTTAATAAAACAGCGAGAGCTTATTCAATAAGAATCTTGCAATGCGATCTCGAGTAATTGACAAGGGGATCATTGGGTTTTATTCACTCAAATCATCTGCTAACCGCTATCTGTCTTGGATCAAAAGCTGATCGATCGGGCGACAGAAAGTAATTTTAACCCCTAGATATCTGTATTTCGGCGTGCTTGCATGCCCTTTGCTTTTTAAAAACATAACGGAGACACGATAGTAATTTATTTACAAAGTAATTGTAAGTGTTTGTAAAACTTCTCGATTTTTCTGCATCTCAATTTCCTAATTTCTTCACTCCTGTGAACTAAATTTAGCACTAAAGATTATTGATGCTATAATTGATAAGGAAAAGAATAGCGCTGTTCTTTAAACGACAAATTATATTCTAGATCGTTTTGCGCATTTCAGAAAATTGTGGTTGTTTCCATTTCAAAGAAATAATATACAACACCGCCGGGCTTTGCAATGCTGTTGACAACATGGACTTGACCAACCGCCGTGCGGCGTGTAAGGCAGTTGAAGAGCCGGTGGTAAAGATAATACCTACTCGAGTACCTTGCGGCAATACAGAAGAGTAATAATAGTGCTGGGGTCACGTTCTTCGCTTCAATAACCTTGTTACCAAAGCCAACGTAGCATTTTAGGCAGACGGTCAGTAAATGACGAGGATATCCATGAAATGATTTTGAAATGAACAAGCAGCGGTTTCTCGCTTAAGTGGCAGCATAACCTTCGCACTTTCTGCTTTCTTTTTTTCTTAATTTCACTTTTTATTTCATATTTATTTTATGGAGATCATCCAGGAATCAGAGCCCTCCATAACACCAATAAAATAAACTCGCAAAGTCAGCAATTGTATCGGTGAATAGCAATTAAGTAAACTGTGGCATTTTCTTTGAGAACAAAATTCCCTCTTTGACTGACGTTTCACCGCACTCAAGAGTCACTGGAGACGAATAGCGCTTTTTCAGTTTCTTCTGAGCAGGCCCTATAGTATTGGGGAAAGAATCTATTCAGTTACTGGTTTGGCATTTCGCTTCCTTTTCGGAATTCTAACGGTTAAAGGAAAAGGAAACTTCCTCCTGATACGTACAAAAATTTGTGTGCTCAACAGGTTGTTACGTAACGTAAGCTTGGCGTATCTTATGCTTACTACGCATGCGGACAAAACACTAAAAGAGATTCTGTCTTCCATCGTTGAACATGTGCCAATTCTCGTGAGAAGACAGCCTGATGGTTGATTTACTGTTCATTAATTTTCTGTGACACGATATCAAAACGGTCCCTGTTTGTGAGTTGAGAAACGTAAAAAAGATGAAAGTCTCACCAGGGAAATCAAGAAACCCTCAGTTTTTTTTCCTGTGACGAAACTGAGGTAATTTTTACCATCTTACCAAAGCGAGTCTTTACTTTCGAACGGAAACGTATAAAGAATCACTTGTAAGATTCAATCAATCAAAGTCGGTAAATTTTATTTATTTACTTTCATTTTTTGTCTCAAGGGACTAGTTGTTATTAAGTACAGTTTAACCATGCAAATTAGTCACAAAGTGGATCTAAATAAAAAAAGGTTTTAAATCTTCATCCTTCCGATTAGGATTATAAATGATTTATTTACGTGCAAAGCGAATTGACGTCTAATACTTCCTTTGTGGGCTCACAGTGTAGCACCGCTGTTTCCAACAATACAAGAGGAATGGAAAGTGAACAAACTGTTCAAAAGGAAGCCGGCTTTAAAACATGGTCATTGGAGCAATCTCATTAGAGCGCTCTAATCAACCTTGCTAACAAAAACAAGCATTGTTTAAGAAGCCATTAAAATCTTCAACTGACTCTTACCTGCTAAAATACATTGCTCACTTCGTCGATCAGGGCAAGCTGATGTTTCCGTCTTTTCATATCATCGCTCATATTTCTAAATTAGTTTGTGCGGCAAAGAGAGTAGTGAAAGAATTATATTTTGTTAAATACATCATATTGTCATTTTTAAGACTGGCCGCTTGTTTACCTAAATTGCGTTTAATAATGCACCGGCCATAAAGAAATGCCCTAATCACGCCTCCTATACGACTTTTTCTAAAAGAAACCGAGCGACATCATGTTTCCAGTTTCTCAATTGTTTGCCTTGTCACTTAACTTCTTAAGTACCTACTGACATAAAGCCAAAAATTTTGGTTGCACACATACAATCGCACTTAAAAACTGCTGAAATTTATTAGACAGTTGTGTTCCTCCCGCACGTCCAATAAGCGAGTCGGCCTCTTCAAAGGAATCTGATGAATGGATTTAATTTATGTTTGTTTGCGCAGTGGACTGTAATCCAATCGCAAACAGCACTTTACATACACCTCCGATATTCTTAAGATTCGAAGCCCAAACTGTGCATTTTTGTTTTCCAACAGTTTCGTCTCAACGTCAAACAGTAAAAGGTGTTCTTCACCCAACAGTCATGTACGAAATTTCATTCGTTGACGATGACTCCGAGGATTTCAGGATCCAGGACTTGCTGGGCGAGGGTTCTTTCGCTCAGGTTTACAAATGTGTGGAAACCAAGTCACAAACCGTGTTCGCTCTGAAAGAATTTGACCAGAAACACAAGGAATTTGATGAGAAAACTGTAGAACAAGAGGTACTTGTTTGGACTGATGTTGTGCACGAGAACATCGTTCGCTTGTACGCCTCCTTTGCCACAGGATCTTACATGTACTTTGTCCTGGAATACGTGGACGGGGGAAGCCTTTTTAATCACATGATGCAAAGGCACAAATATAGCGAGAAAGAAGCTGCGAACATTTTGAAACAGGTAAAGTTCAGCATTTTATCTATAGACTGCTGCGGTTAGCCCACTGATGTAAGCTTTCATCGTGTAAAATGCAACTCAGCTGCCCTGGTCTTCTGTTTCTAATTTTGACATTTTCAGTTGCGTTAGCGGTTCCATTTCAGCATTTAACAAGTAATGCACTACCCATTTCACGTCCTATCATAAGCAGAAAGGAGTTTATTTTAATTTGCTGAGCACGTCACCTTCGAAGCATGTTGCACCGTCAACAAAGACGATGTTTGAAGAGCAAGTTTATCAGACCTCTTGAAACAACTATGGCAAAAATGTTTCAAGATTGTGGTGAAATAGACCGGACTACCTTGTTCACTCTAGTACTCTTCAATATGCGACAAGGTTCGGTAAATTCTGTTAGAAAACACGACGCACATTTCGCTCTTGCGTTTACGATCTTGTATTTAATTCCAGACTCATTCGCAAAGCTAACCTTGCATTTACTTTTGGTGAGCAATTTTACAACCGTTTTACCTCATTGATTAATTTATCTGACAGAATCAAGTCATAATCAGTTCCGGTTATCTTGAAGATAAAATCAACATTCTCTAAAATAATACAGCTAATCAAACAGCGGATTCTGATAAAAAATATCGGCGATACCTGCAAAATTTCTCTTTTTTGTCTCGGATGTATTTTACCTTAAACGGGGCAAACGTGCTTACTTTTATCACAAGTCATTATATATTCAATTTAGGGTATAATTATCGGATTAATTTTTATGTTGAAGCGTTTCAAGATCAAAAACAAGATTTAAACAAGAGCTCCGTTTTTTTGTCGCATGGATTGTCGAAAGTTTAGCGAAGTCCTGATGTTCTCGTTATGTTTATACAGTTCATTCATGTTTTTAATGGATTTTTTTTGGCGAAGAAAAATCAGCATAGTCTCACTTTGTTGTATAGTTGTCAAAATTTTTAGCCGTGGAATAGGTACGATTATGTTTGTTCCCTACTGCTTATCTAGGCACAGACTAAAACCTTTGTCCAAGAGCGCAGTGTCACAAACGTGCATGACATCAATAGGCCAGCGCGTTATTTCAGCGCAGTTTTCATTCAATTGATATTTTTGGCATCTTCCATGTAATTCCAACTCTGACCTCTAACCCTTTCCAACCAATTCAATTAATTTCTTGCTGCTTACCGTGGGTTGTATATACAACAAATCTATTAGTGTTGTATCACTTCAAACTGTTTTGTTTGTCTCCGATGGTGCCCACACTATGGTAAATCGTGTTAGTTTATGTAAACTGAAGATGCATCAGAGGAGCACTGAGCACTGACTGGTGACATGAATGCTTCAAAAGTTTGGTTCAAAACTAACCGTTCTCAATAACCTTCGTGAAACTTGCTAACTTACGACTACTGTACAGCCTACGACCAGAACTTGGCGTTCTAGGACGCGGGTTTCTTTCCTCGCGGGAAGATTCGAGGCGACTTGTGGAGAAGTTTTACCGGGGATCTGGCACTAACAATCAGTGCTAGACCCCTAAAGGCGGGCGAAGAACGCTCGTGCTACGCTAATAACGAGGATCTGCTCCCAAGGTCATCACCGTGCGTCGAAAAAACCAGCGCGTTTTTCTGAGTAGACGGTGAAATGCGTTAGTTGCCGGCTTATACAGTTATCGTGGTCGTCTAAAACCTGATATTTAGACATTTATTTGCACCAGGCCTAATTTTTGTTACAAGAACACTGCAAGAAATAGTTAAGAGCCATCTTTTATTTGGCTTCGAGTTTCACTCCTTTTTTGTTAAGTCAACTTTTAAAATTTAACCCTTCATTGGTATCGCTTCGTAGGTACTTGAAGCCCTTCATTACCTTCACAAGAAACGAATCGTCCATCGAGATGTCAAACCGGATAACCTACTGATCAAACAGGTTCCAGATACCGCTGGCAAATCCAAACAGCACCCAACAATCAAGTTATGTGACTTCGGATTTGCTTTCAAACTCCCACCTGGTGTTGAGGTCACGTGCTGTCCTCCGCGGGGCGCGCCGATGTTTTTGGCGCCAGAAACAATTCTCGACAATCCAATTGGTCGACCTGTGGATATGTGGTCCACGGGTGTACTTCTTCACCTCTTAGTGGCGGGCTATCCACCATTCTGGCACGATAACAGCGAGAAAATGTTACTGGCGGCAGTGCGAGGCCAGTTTAGTTTAACTACTCCCACTTGGAACAAAATTTCTAAGTCCTGCAAAGATCTGGTCAAATGTATGCTTGCAGTGCAGACATCCCAGCGTATCACGGCTGTCGAGGCTTTAAGACATCCTTGGTTTTTTAAGTTATCGGAGTTGGACTCACCACGCCCGCGAAGGAAACACAGTAGTGAGCTGTCGAAAAGTTGTCGGCTGACAGAGAAGCTCAAGTGTACGATCAGCGAGATGCACTCAAGCATGAAGCTGCACCGCTTGGGTCTCGATCCTTTGAAAGGAAAATTTTCCCCGCTATATCACTCAGCCATGAATCTGTCTGAGGTTAGCAGATGACAGCAGCTGCGTTTGTCTCGTACAGTTAAATTTGTTCACGCTTAACAGTTCGGCATCTCATGACAATGTTAACAGATACGTTAAACATTGGTATCGAGGTCAGACGTTCTCCCTCCTGGGGAGCGCTACGAAGTCTTGACAGTCCTATTTGTCCACCTGCGGGGTTATGGTCTACCGGTGTTTCCCCCTTACTCACTCTTGAGAGAATGATTCCCTTTAAAGTCCAGTCTCGTTTCTCGTCGCTGTGCTTGACCGGGGAAGCCTAAGTTTAGGAGCTTGAAGCCAAGTGGGAAGGCCCGGCTTCACATGCGCGCTTGATGGCTGAATTTTTCAAACGTTTTCGCTTCATATTCAAGTTTAAACACCAGGTATAACCAGTTTCTGCACAAATCAATGTCTTGATCGTATGCTTTCATGTACAATAGAGAATGTTAATGAAGTTGAATATCAAAATTTTGCTCATTAGACAGCGTCTATATTTCCTCTGAAATTCCAAATCATGGGATAGTCCGGTGATGGGACATACCATTTCAAGATGATGGCTAGAGATGAGCAGGCATGTAGATGGGGCTGGTCGCAGTTGCCCAAATTATTTCACATTACAATGGCTACACCTTTACCACTTTATCATTTTGTTATAGGCAGATAACTTGAGTGTTCTTACCTTGACATTAGTGATTGTTTAACTAGTTTAATGATCAGAATAGTAATCTTGGGGTGGAATTTAGAAGTGTGACCAACGTCTTCCTTTCGATTCTTAAAAATCAACTCCTAAATGGTTCCAGAGAACCACAAACGAAAAGAGCTCAAAAAGTGACGATAAACTTGTTTGTACTTCAAATTACGCATTTCAACTCACTTTTCAAATTGAGGATGCAAAGATTATTCTGCTACTAAGCAAACAAAACAACAAAAAGACGTTTGACTGTAACCCTACATTGTTAAATAATAAAAAATTCAAATATCTGTCACTGTGTCTACCTTCTTCTACATTCTCTTAATGGTTACAACAATGATTGCATTGCCCTCTTTGTGGGACATGACATAAACAACCAACCACAATCAACAAACTAAAAACACCAGATGGGTAGAGAAGCATGTCTCCTTCACTTATGACAACTTCACAGCTGCTAAACCAAATGACTGTAACAATTGCCAATATGCAAGAAATTTCAGAGAACAGACAAAACTTCACTAGGTAATCATTAACATGGTACCATTTTGTTCAACATCAATTCGTGCAAACCTTGTCAAAAACACCTTGACTACAATCCTGCTACACATCCAGTTTCTAAGACACTGTGGTGCTGCATAAGTAACGAAAGGGGGTGGGGAAGGGGGGGGGAGGAAAGGGATGGTGGGGTTTAAAGAAAACTTTGTTTTATCATCTTAGTTGAAAGTGTAAATTGGTCACCATTAAGACTTCCTAAAGCTGACCTTTCAAGCATTAGCCCTACCTGTTGGTTCTGATGAAGAGCTAATGCTAAAATATGTCATCTTTACAAACTAATTACACTGGCAACTTTACATTATTAACTCAAATGATTAAAAATCATTTACTGAACATCAGGGCCAGTTGTATAAAAGGGCAGACAACACTATCCAACAGATAAATTGCCAGCCTGCAGATAAGTGATAGCAAGCCATATAGCATTATCCACTGTATAGAGATTTATCCAGTGGGTTGACGTTATCCAACCTTCAAATAACCGGGGCTGTTGTTAAGTTGTATTAAAAGATTATTAATTGATGGAGCACAATTAAGGAGAGTGGCATGCCATGAGACATTGTTGGCTAAAATCAGTGTTTAAATCAGCTTTGAAACATGCCTGAATGCAGTTTAGGGCAGATTCACCGAGCTGTTGTTCCTCCAAGCTATGAACCAAAACAAGACTATAACTTACACCAAATGACAACCAAGATACAGAAATTCAAGTTTCTTTAATTTAAACTCTTCATCTATTTGCCTTCCTGTGCCTTGCTATACACGTATGTTAAACAGCATTTTCCACAGTACTGGCGATCAAAGTGACTGGCCATGAAAACTCCAGCCCCACATGACTCATTTGGACATTCCCGTCGAAGACGAGTGATCTTTCCATTTTCATTCACCTTGTAGTATTTCAGGACAGCCAGCTTAACCTAGTAATGAAGAAATAATGTATGGTTAGCATGCAATCTAAAGTACAACCAGGAAATGTTAAATTCTACAGAAAAAACATTCACTTCTGCAACTCTCTTACAAGTCATTATTATAAATTATTCTAACAGTTTAAAAAAAGTTCTAATGAACAGGTAATGAGAAATCTGAAAAAGGAAACTAAGGAATAAATTGTTTTAATATCTCACCAAATTCTTTGGACCAGACAACAAAGAAATAAATGGTAAATAGTAAGGAGATTGAAATTTTCAGATCTTGGGAAAGAAAAGCCTCATTTCACTCAGCACTGAAGAAAGCTGGTTAGCAGTTAAAGTTATTTTGATGATGTCTATCACTCATAGGTCATAGTTTTTTTCCAATTAAAATTTTGCACTGATAGATATATGAAGATCACAGTGTCACAGTAATACTTAATAAACCCTTCCACTCCTGAGATGTCATTGTTAATTCTCCTAACTATCAACTAAACAGTTCTAATGATGTTGCTTAGGGTTTAGAATTTCGTAATGGATCATTCTATAATCCCCTGATTGATATTTTTCCTTACACACATCACTTGCCTGCTTGACAATGTATCAATACTGCAAAGTGAAATTCTGCTGTTCATGGGAATTCTTTGCACAGGAAATTAGACACGACTCTTACCTTCTTCTTCTTGTGCTTAATCTTCTTGGGGGTGGTATAGTTCTTCTTCTTCCTTTTCTTTGCTCCTCCTCTCAGTCGCAGCACAAGGTGAAGAGTTGATTCCTTCTGGATGTTGTAGTCACTGAGGGTACGTCCATCTTCCAACTGCTTGCCAGCAAATATCAATCGTTGCTGGTCAGGAGGGATTCCTAAGGTAAATGGTGTTCTCAGTAAACTTATTTCTTGTGCCAAAAGAAAAATCCACACAGGTGTGTACATGATAATGTACATCCAAAGAAACAGAAAGAACTTAAATCTTTCATTTAGCCTACATATCTTCTCCTTACCCTCTTTGTCCTGGATCTTTGTTTTCACATTCTCTATTGAGTCACTGGGTTCAACCTAAATAAAAAATACCAATAGTATTCAAAAACAATCTTGTACATTGAATCTTTGAGGACCAGTTGAAGTTAAGGTTACTCATTTCATGAAACGCATCTTTGCATTCTGCATGGATGCCTCATTCTTCAGCAGCCACTTTTAACCATCAACAGGTGTATTCATAATTTCTCCATTTGAACAGAAGTTTGCTCAAGAGGGTAGCATAAAAAAATTTAAATGAAATAAATTGACAAGCAAGTTCACTGACACTTTCCCTGATCTCGACTCACAGCCTAACATGATCATCTTACTTAAATGTTTAACTTGGGTTAAATATTGTTTTACCATGCACAAATTTCTACAGAATACCGCGCCACTTATTGCCATCTTAGTGGTGACTTTTGAGGAACACTTTCTTCATTACTTCTATTGTTAATAAGTTTTGTGATTCCCAAGGAAGTGTTTGTTGTTTCAAAAACATTGACAGGCCTGTGAGGAGTCTAGTTTAAGTCTGCGAGCTGTGTTAGTTTTTCATTCAATTTAGTTTGTAAGGAGTAAAATTCAGGGACTGCGGCTCCAAGATTCATCCCTTTTTTTTTAAGGAAAGCCAAGAAACTGACGTAGATTTAGGAGTATTTGAAGACATCGATTGATTCTTTCTTCGATCATGGACAGTCGTATCGAGGAAACAAAAAAAAGGAAACTTCCCAACCACTTAGAAGATTCAAGTGCGTTATACAAAAAAAAGATGCGAAAAAGAAAAGACAACTGTTCAGTGGATAAATTCACTTAAAACACTTTCTTAACTTGCACGTGTCATAAACTTATAATAACAGACCTCAAGAGTGATGGTCTTCCCAGTCAGAGTTTTCACGAAAATCTGCATGGCTCCGCTTGAAAATTCTCTAAGAGATAGAAAAGCTATTAAAGAGTTGTTCTGTTGAGCACAATTCGAAAAATTATCCCAAGAAGACAAGGAAAAGTTCAGAATTCTCATTAAGTTTTGTACCTCTCACCAAGATGGCGGAGAACCACGAGAAAAGAGAACGATTAGGGGTGGTCTGCGCTCTAAATCAGGGGGCTCCAACCGCTGATCAAAACGTACGCTGTTGAAAATCGTGTATTCGTTCAAGATGGCGGAGAGACGAGATGTTTAAATACGACTCTAAAAAGTTATTGCCTTCCATGATGGGTCCATCAACTTCTCGAAAGAAATGAAATGTTCTAAGAGATGTCCAGTAGGAGAGATTTCTGAACGTGAACGCTCTACTCCGATAGGTTCTGGGTATCATGATTTCCAGGATTCATTTTCCGAGCGATTTAACGCATCTTCTTGGGATATTTGCCTGCTTTTGGACTATTAATCTCTCTGAGGAAACGACGGTAATGAAGGGATCATTACATGTTTTTTCATGGGACAGAAAAGTTGAAGACCAAACCGGCAAGTCAGTTTCTGATGTAAAATTAATCCTGGATATTGCCCAAGTTTTTTTTGTTTTTTTTCCCAGGGGGCGGGGGTTCACCTGTGAACGTTGAATTTCACCCCCTCCCCCCTTATTCATTGTATGATGTACTGAAAAACGTTTATAACTTATGATTTTATTGAAAAAAATAAATAAATAAATAAGATCCTAAGATAAGAAAAATATTTATTTGAGGTCATTCAGTGTCCAACTATTAGGCCAGGGTGTATATACAAGGGACAAAGCTTTTCTGATTGATTTTGACAATAATAATAAGAGTAAAATGCAGGCAAAGATGCCAAGAGAACATTAAATTGAATTTGGAAGTCTTGGGAATTAATTGTGATCTAAAACTTTCGAAAAAAAAAAAAAGAAACTCTTTTAATATTTGCAAAGTTCTTTTTATTATTAAATAATTAAATGATATCAATTTCGTTGTTGCGATCAAAATTCTTCTGTCACAAAATCAGCTTTTGAGCTTTGGTTTCTTCATGGGTACACATTAAAGTCCTTCACGCTGGGATCCGCAACGGTGGTAAACTGAGAAAATAAAATTGAGAAATAAAATCAAGAATAATCAGGAACAATAGACAGACAGCGCTTGTATAGTTGTTACGCACGATACAAGAGGAGAAAACGTACTCGCAGTTGTGACTTTATTACCTGTTGTGTAAACTGGTCAACACAAGCCATTCTGATTCGCTCACTGGTAGCAGGACTGTCCAGTCTGAAGATTCCTTCAACACCTGATTCACGTCTTTAAAGAAAAAACGACGAAATTAATTAGCACTTTTATCTTTAACTGAGCCACGGTCAGGACGTCAACATGCTACTCAACTCATGACCTTTCGGTCAGCCAATTTCCTTATGATAATTAAAACTTGAGCCAAAATTTCAGCCCCAACCTAAGAAATTGGAGCTCTAACATATTTATTAATGTTACGCTTCGCCTCACTTTGTTGCAAATTGAGGAGGTTAGTCTCACCTGGCGTCGGTGATGGCCTCTTTAATGGCGAAGAACACAGATGCAGCTAGAAACAAAGAAGGTTCTCCAACGCCCTGAAATTAAATACGAGACTCTATTGTTTACTAGTTTGGTTTAAAATGTGATTTATTCCAATTTCAATGATCTGGCATCCGTTCATCAGATCCAATGACAAGACGAGCAAACCAACGAAAAATATGAGCGAGGGGTACGAACAATTAGACAATATAAATCGGTCACTTTGTGAAAGAATCTTTCATCGGTCAGTCAGGGTTATTAAGTCTTATCAACTGAGTTGATAACGTAAATTGGCCACCGTAAATATTTTAAAAGCTGACGTTTCGAGCGTTAGCCCAATCGCCATGAAGGTGGCTAATTTACGTTATCAACTCAGTTTTTAATACTAAATCACCCTGTTATACTCTCCCACCGACGCAGCACCACAGTTTCTTAAGAAACTTACCCCCTTTATTCAGGATTGGTCAGTCAGCCGGTTAGTTGGTCAATTAGACAGTCAGTCAGACAGACAGACAAACAGATTAATAGATAATCAGTCTGTTGGTTGGTCAGACAGTCAATCAGCCAGTCTGTCAATGACTCAGTCAGCTGGTCAGTCAGAAAATCAGTCTGTCAATAAGTCAGTCAGTGAGTCAGTTTATGGGTGAGTCAGTAAGTTAGTCGCCGTCGATCAGTCGATCATCATTTGAAAATAGAGAACCCTTAAAATATGAGCCCTAAAGTGTGTAAAATACCTTCGAAGAATAAATAGCCATGTCGTTTGGAGCTTTCTGAAGAAGATGGACATTGAACTCCACTGGAATATCTGCAAATCCAGGAATCTTGTAGGTCCCAGGCCCTGTCGTCCATAGGGTGCCATTCTGAGAACATCGCACTTCCTCCAACGTAAACATGCCGAGTCCCTGAACAAAAGCGCCTTCGATCTGAGGACGTAACCAAAAAATTTATGACACGAGGAAAGGCAAGAGTAGCAGATAATTGCAGACTTTGATATAATAGATTAAGTCAGCTTTCAACAGATTGATGAAACTATTAGGGATTGCAATAGTTTTGCTTGACACGTGACATTTTCGTGCATGTTGATTGGCCATTTCAATTGCGAATCAGCAGTAGTCTTGATCTCTGAATGCCTTATCCTCGTAATGCAAGTGGCATGAAAGGCAGAAATGTCTAATACACACGATGGAAAAATGTGATTTTCCGATGGAATAAGTAAAAGTTCTTCTCGTAACACCTGTCCTTCCAACGGAAGTAACTTACCGGAAGTCAGACGAACTCCGTCAACTAACAGTGACTTAGAGTAAAGGCATTTACGATTTCAATTAACCCTTTAACTCCCATGAGTGACCAAGGCAGAATTTCTCCTTACAATATCGACGAGATAAGTGTCGAGCATAAAGGAAAATATCAATTTCAGGATAATTAGTTGATCCAATACTAAATTCTCTGAACTAACATTATAAGAATCGTATGGTTGATAGTAAGGAGAATTATAAATTTGAGCTGGGAGTTAAAGTTAAATACAAATAACATTCTCGCAGGGTATGATGGGATAAGGTTACTGACCTGGCCGACGTCGATAGCTGGATTGAGACTGGTACCGACATCCATCACAATGTCTGTGCGAAGAACCTGTTCACACAAATTCACCCCAAAAAGCGTTACAATGACGAAAAGAAAAAACAGTATTGAGCGAGTAGTTTGAAGTTAGAGATGATTGTCAAATCAACTCAAAAATGTTTCATTTGTTACAAGTGACTGGGGTTAAATAGAGAGACTGCGCGCTGACGAGCACTCTGAAGTATGGCTACGACCTTTGTCAACTTGCGCGTTTCCTCCCAGCTCAAAAGGTTTGTTTGAAGAAAAGCAAGTTGAGTAATTTTTTTGGCAGGTGTAGTTTAGTTAGTTCTCTAGAGAATTGAAACATGTTTAACTGTCCGAGATTTGGAATTTTGGTTTCCCTTTTTTAAGTTGCGACCTTGTCTAATACCTCTAATACCTAGATCTTCCAAGGCCGCCAGATAGTGCAAAAGATCTGGGCAGACGTTCACATATATGGTGCTCAGTTACATTATATAGTTCGTAAAGACTTCCGATAGCGGTGCGAATCAGACGTCACTCACTTGATGATCTCCTGTGAGACAATCGATTTCCACTTCAGAACAGGCAGCGCCATAAGTATAATAATTATACAAACGCCCTGAATTAGTTTTCCAATCGTAATTGAGGTCGGGCACTCTGTAAGATGTTAAAAAAATGACTCCGAATCAATATCAGCACAAATTTTCACTAAATCGGCTTAACTTTGAAAATCGTCATTGAGTTAACGCAAAAAAAATAAGGAATTTTCTTTTAAAACAAAAAGAGCTCGAATAAGCAGCCTCACGTAAGAGGGTGTGGGAGTGGTGGGGCAGGGGAGGGGAAGGAAGAAGGTGAAAGGGACTCTGAACCCCAAAACCGAACTCTATGGATGGAGGGGCGGAACACATTGTGGAAATTATACTTGAAATAGCTTAGACTGTAATCATTATCCTTACTTGTAAAACCCACTTGCAGAGAGGTTCACGCGGTCAAAGTAGGCCGCGTGTATCCAGTCCTCCCACTTTCCCTTGGGATCCTCCATCTGATAAGGCTTGAGTCTGTCCAGTATTTGGTCACAAGCATTCTGCAAACAACATAAGCAAGCTTTTTGATGCTTTGTCAATCCTTGTATTTATTCATTTTTTTTCTGCTTGTCGATAGGTTGTAAGTCCTTTCTTTGGTGGAAACCTTATCAACCCCTTAAGTGTGTCATTCGCTGTCCATTCTCCCCCACCCCTCCCCCTCAACCTTAGACTCTTTTGGTCGAAAGTTTCTATAGAGTAGGGCATAACCTATGAGTCGACGGCGGGAAGAACACTAGACAAAGGAAAGGTAGACGTATGTTGCATAATTGAGCAAATTGTTATACAAGCGTTGAAAAAAATGCGGGGTTAATTTCTTTCACGGTTGGTTTTGCTTTACGACGCTCAAAGTTGGTCCAGGAAACGCACGCAACTCTCTCAGCTGATAAAATGGAAAAAAGAAAAAAAAACCATCGTGACTACGTTGCTCGCGTTTTCCTTCATTCCAAGCACTGTGCTTGTCGTTCCTTTAGTTCAGTTCTATCGGCTTCCTGAGCTGTTTATTTCTGCTGTGATTGTTCATATCGGATTTTTAGTTTTAATTCTATATGTACAAATCTCATAAAAAAGCGCTTTTGCGCGAAAAAGGTGTTGACAATTCTTACTTTAACCGCCATGCCGTTGAGATCAGAGGAGGCAGAAGCTGCTGTCTGGGTAGTATTAGGAACTGTGTTTGTACTTGTTTCACTTATTATGATTTTGGATGCTGGAATACCTAAACATCTAGCTGCTACCTGCAAAAATATAACAAAGGAGGGTTGAAATTTGAGCTTATGTCGTCATGTTTTGTATAATCTCACTCCACTCGTCATTTCAGTGACGTGACGTTGTAAGCAGGAACAGCTTACCAGGCTGACAAACATCTCACCTGCACCATTTTGGTGTGTAGTCCTTGGCCCATTTCTGTTCCGCCATGAGTTAAAAGAACTGATCCGTCTGTGTAAACATGCAACAGAGC